TGTTTTATGGAATTTGGAATGGACGATTTAGGAAAATTGAAGAAATTGTGATAGTGGATTTTCCACGATGTAATCGCGTGGAATTGCGTGCTGTATAGGGATTTGGAAAAATCGGGGAATTTGTGATCAAGTGTTTCATGGACCTAGGAAAATTGAAGAAATTATAATAGTGAATTTTCCACGATGTAATCGCGTGGAATTGCGTGCTGTATAGGGATTTGAAAAAATCGGGGAATTTATGATCGAAAGTTTTATGGAATTTAAATAACTTGGAAAAATTAAAAAGAAATTGTAATAGTGTTATGGAATTGCGTGCTATATAGGGATTTAGAAAAATTGGGAAATTAATCGAGTGTTTCATGTGAATTTGGACGACAGAAAAATTGAAAAGAAATTGTAATAATTTCCACGATGTAATGGAATTGCATTGGTATATGAGGATCTGGAAAAATAAGAAAATTTATAATCGAGTGGAATTTGGACTGGATGACTTAGGAAAATTGAAGAAATCGTAATAATCAATTTTCCACGATGTAATGGAATTGCCCGGTATATGGAGATTCGGAAAATTAAAAAAATTTGTAATCGAGTAACATTCGAATGAATGATTTAGAAAAATTGAAGAAATTGTAATAGTGAATTTTTCCACGATGTCATGGAATTGCGTGGTGCACAGGGATGTAGAAAAATAGGAAAATTTGTGATCAAATGTTCGTGGAATTTGGACTGGATGACTTAGGAAAATTGAAGAAATCGTAATAATCAATTATCCACGATGTAATGGAATTGCTCGGTATATGGAGATTCGGAAAATTAAAAAAATTTGTAATCGAATAACATTCGAATGAATGATTTAGAAAAATTGAAGAAATTGTAACGATCGATGTAATGGAATTGCAACCGTTGCACGGATACTCGAAAAAGTGGAAGAAATTGTGATCGAGGAATTTGGAATTGGTCCAAATTTAGCTTTCTTTTTTCCCCCTCCAAAAAAAAAAAAACACAAAAGAAAAAAACTGTAATTTCAGGTCGTTCTGACGCTGGTGTGGATGATCATCGAGCCACCGGGCACGAGATTCTTCTACCCGGATCGTAAGCAGGTGATCCTCAAGTGCAACATCCAGGACATGAGCTTCCTTTTCTCCCAGTTGTACAACGCGTTGCTGATCCTTATCTCGACCGTGTACGCGGTGAAGACGCGGAAGATACCGGAGAACTTCAACGAGAGCAAGTTCATCGGCTTCACCATGTACACAACCTGCATCATATGGCTGGCGTTCGTCCCCATCTACTTCGGCACGGGGAACGCGCACGAGACACAGATCACCACCCTCTGCGTGGCCATCAGCCTTAGCGCCACCGTCACCCTCGTCTGCCTTTACTCCCCCAAGATATACATCATCCTCTTCCAACCGGACAAAAATATCCGGAGGAAGGTCACCATGGGCGACAAGTCGAAGAAACAGGGAAGCAGCGCAGGCACCTCCTCCATCACCAAATGTGAGTATAGTTTTCAAACTGTGCTTGAAAAATGAGCAACCATATAGTTGAAAAACGAGGGACGAAGGTGTATTCGTTTAAAAGAATAATTCGAAAGATTTGGCTTATATGCACGTGTATAAATTGGTTTGACTGGTGGAAAACTGGTTCAATCTCTTTCCATGGCGAAAGGATGATTTATCCGCCGCGAGATATAAAATATCGTCCGTAGAGGAATTCGACAATTTTACGACCTTCTCTCCCTTTCGAAACGTAATTATCCCGAGCGTGAAACGTGAAACGTAACGTTCCTCGAAAACATCGATCAAAATTCTGACCAAGATTAAGATTCTAATTTAAAAAAAAAAAAAAAAAAAAGAACGAAACGAAACGCGAAATATACGATATAAGCCGGCGTTCCATTTTTAGAAAATGGAGGACGAAGGTGGGGGCTAATAATAATCCGAATCCGCCGACTCGACTCGCGAAATCACGAAGAGAACGACCGGTTGTGGCACGCCGCCAACGCCTCGTAACGCGGGGATCGCAATTTCGTAGGATCGTCCATCTCTCGAGTCGAGTTCGCGTAACCCGATCCCCGCCGAGCCTTATAAATAGAAGAGTCGATTGTTGTTCGCCGATCACTCGACTCGAGCGCAAAAAATTCGAAATTCGAAGGAATTTAAGGAAAAGTGGAAATTAGAAGATCCATCGAATTTCGTTTCGATCTCCCCTCTCCTCTTCTTTGAACGATAATCGCTAATTTCCTTTCCTCTTCGCGGATTTCGTTTCTCTCGAGTCGAAGAATTTTTGCCCATCGATAACGCTGTGGATCGATTACCGTTTATTTAGAATTTCTCTGTAGCTCGATTTTAGCAACACCATAGCGAGGGTGCAATTTGCGCGTGGAATTTCGCGAGAATCGTTAGTCGTCGCTGGTTGCTAATCCCCCCTCCGATGTTACGAGATATTAAATTTTCAAAGGAGGGGGGCGAGTGTTTCGTTCGAAAATTTCGAAACGATCGATTCTCTAAATGGGAGAGAGAGAGAGAGAGAGAGAGGAGGAGGAGAGAG